AACAGGACAAGTGACACTTTGGTATATTGAACTTCTTAATATAGAAAAAATAATAATAATAATGTTTGTGAACTATACAAGGTATCCCACCATGACCTGACATTTTTAATAACTTTTGTACAAATGAATATTTTGCGTTACAATTTTTAGCATCGATGCGAAGTTTAGAAGGTAATGGTTTTGTGATGATGTACGATTTTTTTTTTGTCTGTTCATAAAAATTTTTAGCTCTCAATGTACCGATTTTAATGATAAACACATATGTATAATTCAATTTTAATGTAGCGTAATCGACTGTTGCCAAAAATAAAAACAATATTAAATTTTAGATATTTTTAATAATATCTCAAAATTACCATAAAAAATGGCATTTTCAAAAAATGTTTGCTTTTGAAACAATTATAGCTTTTTAAAAAAACATAAATTAAGTTTAAAAGTATATATTAGTAAATATAAGCTTTCTTTTGGTTTACTTTTTATAAAAATCCAATAAAAAATCTAAGTACTGAAAAGGTTTGAGACCTCCAATGCATAAAAAAGAAAAATATAATCAATAAATAGTGTTCCATCTATTTTATTATATTTGTTAAAAATTTAAATATTGATTTAACTGAAGCACTGTCAGAATAACATGAATTCAATTAGTTTTAATATAAAAATAAACTCTATCATTTTAAATAAATTTTAAAGCTGATTAAATAAAAATTTCATCCTTGAAAAAAAAATTTTCAATAAAAAAAATATGTCCTTGAATTAATCAGAAATAATTATTAAAATCTTACTTAAAATCTAAGTAGATATATATGTGTGTGTGAGTGTGTCTTTTTTTTATTTTTATTTATGATTTAAATTTTTTAATTATAGAGTGAGGACAAGACTCTGTTTTCGAACATTTTAAGGAAATATTTTTGAATATATTAATTAAACAATGATACATTTTCGATAATGATTTAAATGAATGCATATATTTGTAATTTCAAGAAAAATATTATGAATAAAAAATAATGAAATTTAAGTTTTATTCAATCTAGGGCATTACTAGGGTGGATTTTTAAATTAAAACAAATTGGGAAAAGTTGTTTTTTTCGTTCTTTTTAAATGACATTTTTATATATAAAATAATTTGTTATAATTAGTTGAGTAACTCAGTTACTGAAAATAATTAGCCTAAAAATTATCCATGAGTTGGAGAGTCATCATTAGATTTCCATTTTTAAATATTTTTACATCAAATTTTTCTTTTATTATATTCAATACTTAATTTTACTAGGTAGACCAATTAAATATTTAACAATATATCCAAATATTTTTAAGGGGGCTACAGGTCACTTCCTCTTAATTGGAAAATACATATATAATTAGTTTTTTAAGTATTTACTAAATTAGGCTTTTTGGAGTGGAGCCCCACTCCAAGATGATGAACTTGAATTTTCATTCTAATTAATAACCATTAATGTCAGGGCAGGATTAAGATTTATATGATCTTTAGATAGTACTTTGAAATGGTCGCTTTCTATGGAAAATATCGCTACCAAACAAAGTGATAAGTAGAAAAAAACATAATTTATGTCACTAATCATGACAGTCTAGTAAAATTTTATATGGACACCGGTCGGGTGTCATATTAAGGAGGGTATTCGCCCTTTTGCCAACTATTACTTATTTGTTTCAATATATAAAGTAGTATTTCTATCTAGTTAAAGCTATTAGCACTATAATTTTGAAATTTTTTTCTTAACTTACGTAATAAAGGAAAATGTTGCAAAAAATACAGCTGTTATGAGACAGTTTAATGTTGATATTTTTAGTTTTCATTTTTTATTAAAATAACTTTGAAAACTTAATGGTTTATTGCGAAATTGATAATACGACATACTAGCTTACTTGACTACAACTTATTATTTTTAAACATCCAATTATTAATCATAGTTCTGTGGAATATTAAAAATCATATTCAATTTTTGATGTTTTAAAAAATGTGCCTTCATTAAATTAAAAAAAAAAAACCATTTTAAAATATATAAAACTATTAACTACCGAAAAGAAAAAATAGTATTAATTTTTTTATTTTAAAAGTTTTGTGTGAGTCATAGTTAAACAATCACTCCGTATAGACGACAATATATAAATAAAAAATTAGTCAAACAGAATTTCTTAAGCTATTCTTTGTTTAGTAAGAATATATTAGAATTAGACTTATTATATGTTAATTTGTAGTTTACTGTTTATAAATTTGCCATAGCACAAACTTTCTGCTCTCCTTGTTTATTTAAATGACCCTAAAAGAAGTTGGACACAATTTAATACTGTTGTATCTAGGTACACCTGTTTTAAAGCCTATCAAGATAATTTTCATAGTTTAAAATAAATATGTGATAGCGTTCTTAAAATAACTATTTTTTTTTTTAATTACCTTATAATTATAAAATTGCAATTACTAAACAAAAAATTATCATAAGTTTAAATGTATAATTTTTAATTTTTTATGTTATAATAATTAGTATTAACTATATTAATTAAAATATTGCAATGTTAGAACAAGAGGGTGGTATTATAAAAAAAATTTGTTTCGAAATAATCTGCTTCAAAGTTTTATTCTTCCATATTTGTTATGCTATGTGGTATTTTACTTTTAGCATTTATATTAAGTTTAAGCCAAATTTTATGTAAATTGCTTGCATATTTAGGTAGTGGTAAATATTTACAATTATATATATTTTTATGATAAAGGAGAACACAGGGTAGGTGAAATGAAAAGTTCAGTGACAATAGTCGAGGCCATGATAGGAAAGGTGGAAAGTTTTAATTATTTAGGGTCAGCTTTGCAATAGAGCGGTAGTATTGACGAGGATGTAAGACACAGGATTAATTGCGGGTGGTTAAATTGGATAGAAGCGTCTGGTGTGTTATGCGGTAAAAGAATTTCAATGAGACTGAAAGGTAAATTCTATAAGACTGTAGTGAGACCAGCTATATGATATATGGGAATATAGAGCAGAGAATGAGTGTAGCAGAAATGAGAATGCTTAGATGGATGAGTGGAGTGACTAGAGAAGATAGGATAAAGATCGACCATATAAGAGGCAGTATAGGTGTAGCGTCAATTGTAGATAAGGTGAGAGAAATAGTCCTAGATGGTTTGGTCATGTTAAGATGAGAGAAGAATGGGAAGCTGTAAGAACAGTCATTGAAATGAATGTTGATGGAGGAAGAGGTAGAGAAAGACCAAAAAAGAGATGAAGGAATGCTATTGAATGCGATTTGAGCGTAGATGATTTGGGTGATCGTGTCAAAAAAGCCGTTTAGGATAAGGGTGGCCGACACCAAGTAGTTGTGATTAAGGCGAGGAAAAAGAAGAAGAAGATATATTTTTAAGCACAATTTTCATTTTCCCCACTAATCCCTATAAGATAAAATACAATTTTTTCTTTTAGAAGTTGTTAGTATTCTACCTCTAAATAATGTTATTAGTTTTGATATAGTTAATTAATTTATATGTCACTACTTTTTAGAGTGCTTATGCCGTTTATTTAGTTATACACTTATTTGCTAAATATTCCTTAACGCGTCTTAGTCTCTCAAAATCTATAAAATATTGTTTATTGTTAATCAATATATTTTCAGAATAGGAAAAGATAAATTTAGCCCCGTTATAATGTTTGTTCTATTCGCATTTTCCTAAAACCTGAGGTAAAGATGATCATTAGGCAATAGTCGAAATGAACGATACAACATATACAGGGAAATCTTTGAAATCGCGTAACACTTTAATATTTAAAATTATTGTAAAACTAATGAATTTTTTTTTTTAATTCCTACTCATCAATTTTTTTGTTTAGAATTAAGAACCAAATATAATTTTTATAACGTTATTATGACATATAATGTTATATTATTATTATAAAAATTTTTTATAACTTTAATTTTTACAATTGCTATCTGGGTTGCTTTGAATTTTGATGAAATTTAAAAAAGTTACAATTAAATGTAATTTGTGCATTGGTATAAATTATGGAATTTAAAGCGTTCTATTTCATTAAATGTTATTTGTGCGTAGTTTCATGATAATTTTTTTGAAATTTAACTAACACAGTATGTGTCAACAAAACTATATTTTATATCTATTAAATTATTGTATTAATAATTTCATTTTTAATAAACTGTGCCCCTTAGATTTCTTTAGAATTGTTTGTACAGATGATAAAATATTCTTAAATATAAAAACTTAAGAATATGTTACCAAGGTATAATTCGATCAATTCTATAATTTAGAACAATTGAAATAGCAAAAGGATTTCATTCAATTAATTTTTGTTTATGTTATGTTCCATAGATAGATGAATATATTAATAGATAGATATTATTAATTTTCGGAAATAAAATAGAGTTTGATTTATTAAAAAAACTACTTTCATTTTTTTTTTATTAATTAATGACTGTTTTTTATAAAATATAATAAATATGGAGTTGGTTTTAAAACATTTTTTATAACGGTAGTAGTGACGGCTCCAAGGTGAGGGCGCACGCTTTTAACTTGACTAACATCGTGTAGTTTAAAAATTATTATGAACGTTAAATAAGCAAAAATGTATTTTGTTCTCTAAAAAATTTCATAATATTCTGTATCCTACCTTGAATGGTAGTTTTAGAGGTAATTTTTGATAGTTGAATGGGACTAATAATTATTTTTACAAAAGATGGAAAGTATATAAAATAATATTTTGACTGACCGATAATCACTTTTTTAATGTTTCTTTTTTAAACATTAGTATTGAATTATTAAAACAAGGTGAGGGCGGGGAGTTTTTGTAAAATTCTATTTTTATAATAACGCATAGACAAGGCGAAAGAGCTGTGTAACATAGTAATATTCGTATTTTTTAAATTTAAATTATTGAATTCATACTGTCATATATAGTTAATTTGTTTAAATAAGCTTTATCTTTAAGCGAACTAAAAACCATAGCTTAAAAAAAAATTAGATGTCTATATTTAAGTATTACAAATCTTATTTATAAATATTATATACATGGGTCTTATACATATAATATTTAAAAGAGTTTTCGTTATATTTCATGTGGTTTTACGGTGTTTATTTAAATATGTTTTTAATATATAATTTATCTTATTATACAATAGAGATTTTATTAAATAAGGTTTTTAAATCATTTTCATCATTATTTTTAAAGGAATTATTTGAATGCCCTATATTGAGGTAGTTTTTACAACATTGCACAATATAAGTGAAACATTCCTTATTTTCAACACATAATGAATTTGAAAAAGAATTGATTTCTTCTTTCCAGTCCTTTTCAATATTTTCGTGATTTTCAGCAATTGCTTGCCAATGTTTTAATATATTTTGAGTGCTATCATTAAATTGGTCATTTCCTGAAAAAAAAAAACAAAGTTTATAATTTAAAGTTATAATTTTTTTTTTTTGAAGAAATAATTTTAACATTTTAATTTATTACCAGAATTACACAGTAAATATTATGTACTAATATTTATTGCTGTGTTTATTATTTTAAAAATTTTAGTATAAAAATTCTTCTTTTTTAAATAACACAAATTCAATTTCAATTTTTATATATATATACAATTTGTACCAAAAAAGAAACAATAAGAGTATTGGCTAAATTAAAATTGATGACACTTTTAAATATACATATATTTTTATATACAGGGTGGCCCACCACTCACTGACAACTTAAATAACTTTTGATCCAGTTAATATTTTTAGCTGATTTTTTTTTTAAATATTAGTTAGACGTTAAGTCTATAGNTTTTTGAGGAAAGACCTTTTACCAGGGGATTTGAGTGAGAGAATAGTCGTGAGTGGAATCTTTTATAATAAGTAATTGCTGCTTCTTTCACAGTTTTAATTTTCAGGCCAGTATGGGGTGTGAAGTTGGAAATCTATGGAGGGGAGTTAGTTAGTTTTCTAAAGGTAATATTTTGAAAAGTTTGTATTCGATTTAAATTCGTTTTTTTGGCATTACCCCATAATTGGATGCCATAGATCCAAATAGGTTTAATTAGAGAATTGTGCATTAATAATTTTGTTTCTAAGTTTGTGTATTTATTATTAATTATTTAAGTTTTAAGCATACGATGTCTGAGTATTAATTGTAGTCATTTTTCACGAGTGTGATGGGTACATATAAATCGGCAGTCGAGAGTTAAACCAAGATATTTTACTGATGGAGTTGAGAAAATTTGAGTGCCATAAAAAGTAATACTTGGACATTGTTCAGGCCTAAGAGTAAAGGTTGTGTGAGCTGATTTAGCCTCATTGACCTTAAACCTCCAATTCCTATACCAGACTTCCATTAATAAAAGGTGGTTTTGTAAATTATACAGGCAATAATAGGATATTTATTTGTTGATATGATTATTTTATCATCTGTATAATCTGCGTTTTCTTTCGTTTAAACATTTTGATTAGAGGAAATCAGATGTTTTTGAATTATGAATTGATATTTACACGTATTTTTTATGTCTTATTTATTTTCATTAATGACAATATATGATGAAATATGTTTCTAAAAAATTCAAAAGTGGGTCATTTTGGTTTGGGCCGACACTAATTTATGTTTATATTATTTAGTATAGTTCTATTTGATGTTAATTTATGAGAAATATTACTTTAAATAGCATTAAAATTTTAATAGAAAATATTTTTGTTTATATAAATTTTTACTTACTAGTATCAATAACCTCCTGAATTACCCCTGCTTCTTTTATGCATGCATATAATGTTAACATTCTTTTTGTATATATTATTTCCATTGTCACTGATTTCTACAACATATCAAAAACATTTTAAATATCATTTAATTAGTATTTATAAGTTTGAATATAAATTTCTTGTTTTCTATAATAACACAAGATTACTTAACTATCCTAATCAGTTGGTAATTTATAAATTTTTCTTATTTCCCATTGATAATTTTAAATGATTATAAGTTCATTCTAAAAATTTACTCAATTCAGAGATTTATCCTTCTTCAATAATCCCCAAAAAATATATGGCGATCAGTAAGTCATGAACGGATTTTTATTGTTCTCATTTTTTGTAATAACTGATCTGTTTTTTACTTACTGAACACTCTTTATATATTTAAACAAAAGAATACTTATACTTTTATCTTTTGAAAATTGAAAAAAATATTCTAAAATTATCTGTAATATTCCTATTTTTACCTAAATACATTAATGACTACAGCGATTGAAGACTACAAACATTGTATACTTTATTTATCATACGTTTTTCTTAAATTATTTTTATTTTACTTGAATGATAATAATGCTATTTTGATAAAAAATTTAAACCATGTTAAAATTAAAAATTATATTTTAGATATAAATTAAACAAAATTATGTATATCATTTTAAATTCGAAAGGCATAGTCAAAAAAATCATAAATAGTATATTACTTACGAAAAGTGATAGTAAAAAGAAAATTTTACATATATTCAAAGTCATTCTAATAAAAAAAAACATAAAATTAAAATTATATTTACTAATATTTCTTTAGCAAATCTAAAACAATGATTTTACAGTTATGGACGTGTTGAAGCTTTCGTGGATTGTCTTATTGCTTGAAATGTTTATGGATATATTTAAAATTTATTCATTTTTATTTAGTATTAAATATATAAATATTTTATTTGTGAAAAAAGATATTTTTTATTGTGTGTCGACCAGTGTTTGAAAAACATTGTTCATACTTGTATACAGAATCGATTAGTAATAATACAATAAAAAAATAGTGTTTTGAAGTTTTCTGAACTATTTATTTCATTAGTAACTTCATAGTTGTCTAATGTTAATAAATGAATAATATTGTTAAATAAATAAAAAAAAAATTTTTAAGTTTTTTTTTCATCTTAATTTATTAGTATTTAGTCCTTTAATAATACTGTTATTTAATTACTTGATAGTTATTCTAACTTACCTTATATTGAAAATTATTATATTCAGTGTGCCTTTGAGCTATGGATCTACTTAAATTTTTAATTCTTATTTTACTTTAGCAATCAAATGATTTTTAACACATAATATATATTATATCAATGATGTAATATTAAAGAAAAATAAAGGACACTTGTTCACATATACTTAAATTGTAAACATTTCAATGCACATTTTAGCAGATAAAATATCATCCTCATAACAGTTATGAAATATATAAAAAATATGTGTATCGCAGTTATACTATAGGTACAATAAACAGTAGAAAAATTTTGAATAAATATTTTTATGGGTTTTTACAAATTGCCATTAGATAATTCTATAGTATTCTTCGATTATTTAAGGATATTTCAGATGGTTTAGATTAAGTTTGATTCATTCGTCTCTAAGATCGTTGTAACTCATTGTGACCTAGTAGATAAGTCATAAATTATTTTATTACTATTTGGCAATCCATTATATTTGTTTATTGTATCGTAACTTTGCAGGTATTTAATGTACGATAAAATATAGTTAACATAAATTATTTTGTCAGCGACATATTGTGTTCAAATACTCAAAGCGAGCTTTTTCTGTATACATGGTTGTTTTATGTATTAATTTATTTCTAGGCAAAGGTAGATATTGCACTTTGTTTTGTTCTATTGTAACAAAACGATACTAGATACAATATAGTCAATGTTGTTCCGTCTAAAACAAATTGTACCTAACAGGCATAGCAATTGTAACCTTATGGCGCTTTTCCATAAAACCATTTAATGAGAGCCCAGCCTTTCATTGTATACTAGTCAAGTTATTTTTATTTTGTCACACATCACGCTAGAGGACATAGTGTTCATTTATCTTATTGATTTTCTTAGAGAAAATATACTAATTTTAACTGTATAAATCTTGTGTTTTTTTGTATAAATCGAATACCATAAAATAAACTTGGAAAGTTTTAAAAATCATAAATATAATGTATAAATCTGTTTTGATAAATTTTACAATATTTGTTATATTTATCTATGTATTTCGTTTGTACAGTTTTGTACTACGTTTTAATGAAATTATTGACGATCACGATCGTATGCATAATGTAATCGTCTTGTAGTTTGTGTAAAATAACGATCTCAACAGAATGACATATTATTCGAATGATTTATTATGTTGTTTGTAAACTAATTCTTATTCCAGGTAAACACTTACATTCTTATGAATGAATTTACAAATTAAATGATGGTACAATATGACATTTAAAACTCATAGCTTATAAACAATATAGTTGTTATGTTCTTCCAACGCAACTGCATATTAAATTTCTCGAAGTAATGATATAAAATACATCCTATGTTTTTTATTGAGTTATGTCATGTAATTGTATGAAAAAAAGTCATTTTGTGATGGTAAAATATCAAAATAATTTCTTATAAATAAACGAAAATCCGTCAATATGTTACTTTTTAAAAATAAAAATTTAAATAAATATTTTGCACTTTACTCACTTTTATAAAAATCGAACATGCTTGTAACTAAAAGTCTGTCGCCAAATATCGTTAATTTCATAAACAGTTCATATTTTCACTAAAAACTATGTTTGTTTTAATTTCTAAAATCATTTGTTTTACAAGAAATAAAAATCAATTTTAATATAAAATGGAGTTTTGCGGTTGATGCTTTAATGCTTATAGCTCTGTAAATAGGTTATGAACCAATATTATTACATCTTTTTTGAGTAAAGTTCTTATGGTTTTATGAATACATTACGAGATTTATTGAAATGTGTTATTAGAAATAATTCTCATAAATGATAAGTGTTAGAATTATAAAATATTATGTAATCTTAAATAGACAAAATACACATACAAGAGTTGGCACTTTCATAATTGTGTTTATAAATACTTATGTAACATAAATTAGATAAGCGTATGAAATATTCAAAAAATCTGTTGGATTCCGACTGGGCAAAAAGCCAATAACACATTCAGTTAACACGTACATAATACAAAAACAGTAATTTACTACTCCCCGAAATTTATACGAAAAAATTCGAATTCTATTGTTACCTTGTACATTATTAATCGTATCATATATTTGTATCGAGATTTGCTAACATAATATTTCCGCAGTTTGTTGGTGATCTACGCTTTAAGTGAATATCATATTTAGCCATAAGAATGGAAATGTTTGTTTGTGCAATGGATTTAGTGGAAAACCTACGCTGGGTTCGTTTCGTGTGAATTTCCTATTTCGCATTTGGTAACAAAAAATTGCAAACAACAAAAGTAAAAACATAATTAAAACAAAGCGAACTTATTCTTATCATATTATTACTCAGCACGCCATGTATGGCGACACGTGACACAGAATCAAGAGACAACGACAAATATAGAGCGAAAACAATGTGTTTTGTGTATTTTTTTCAATTTATTAAAAAAAAAGGAGAAATGCGTTCAGTCTTATACATTATCACCCGAAGTAGTCTTGTTTGTTATTGTAATTGAAATGTCATGATACCTTGTTTGAGTTTTTACGGGACCTAAAAGAATTGTAATAACATAAATAGTCTTAATATAAACGACGTCTCTTTACGTGTGCTGTTTTGATGGATTCTAGTGAATATATCTTTTCGTTAGTTTGTATAAATTAAATACACAACTGACTTATTTATCTATACCTCTTTTTCTCTTCTCTGTGACAATGCTTATATGTTTCATTTATTCTTAGTTAAGCCAAACGCAACGACTGCAGTTGTTTTATGGGTATGGTAATTAGGTGGATTCAGGAGTTCTTATGGCACGGGCTACAAGAAAAATACATTTACTCGGCTGACACCTACATCGTGTCTTTGTATTTTAGTGACTCCTTCGTTAATATTTCATTGGTAATGGTCAGCTGCCGAAGTGGTAGTTTTTTGTGAACCCTTTTATTATTGCATGGAAATGAAAGTAGTCGATTTGACGTAGAAAAAACTGTTCTTTATTCAGCGCACTTCACCGATTACAAGAGATATACTAAAATTATTGTTTGAAGACATTTATTCCTTCTTAAAATCTATTCTTATTTTATTTACTTAGNTTAAAGTCTATTCTTATTTTATTTACTTAGACGCTATACATTTTTTGTGTATAATTATGATTTTACAAATATTATATTTTTTTAAGACATCGTAAACTGTAAATTATTTTATTTAGGTTCTAGTAGTTCAGTTATTTTTACAGAATTCAACGTGTACCGAACAAAGAATTCCAGACAAATGATCTTCATTGATTTAATCTAACGTCCGTTTTTTCAGTTATTCTACAACTTGATATTTTATGGACTTAATTATTGGTATTTTAATAACCACGTGTTTCAACTTATTACGATTAATGACCCTCTTTGTTCAAATGGCTTAAATTAACGCATATAATGTTCCAAAATCTACTATAATGCACCATAATTTACTATGGTATCTTTATCCGGGATTATTAAGTGGCTTAACGGGTCTTATAATTCTTGATAAATTGAGTTTTAATATAGTCTTGTTATTTACTGTACATAAGTAGGACGCACGGTTAAACAAACGTGGGTAAATTTGAGTAATTTGGGAGCAACCATTACCCAACATAACTTTGTGGTTAAGTGAAGCTTTCTTTATAACCTAGATATAATTTTTAAGGGTAATTTTTCATTTTCTAATATACATGTTTGAATATAGAACCGATACTGTTGCCGTAATGTCAAAACGGTTTGTTATTCAAAGTGGTCTATTTATATTGAAATACGCGATAAATGAAATCGTTTTGAAGAAACAATTGCTTAAATTTATGAACTATTTTAAACTATTATTACAGTAAAAATGTACAAATAACTGTTATGATGATACATGATGTAATAAATGGTTTATTGTGTAAATTTCATAAATTTTTATGTATTTGTTTGAACACGTTTGCGTTATAAAAGTTATTCTATAAAAAGAACTGGGTACTTATTTGTCTATTAACTGTGGTTGTTAGATAACATTGATTATTTGAGAATGATGAGACTTGATTTGAAATCAAGCAGTGTGAAAGAGATTAAAAGGAAAGCTAGTAGCTTTTAGGTTAAACTTAATAAGTAGGGAATGCTCAGTGTGCGGGTCATTAAGGGATACATAAAAGTGCGGGAAGTAAACAGAGAGATATTAGTGAATAAGGGAAACTTGAAACGAGGATTATAGTGGCTGTTCCAACGTATGTGAGATTTGGTGAAAAAGAAAACGAAGGAAAGTAATTTTGATAAATAATTTCGTTGATAAATAAATGAAACTTAAGTTGCAAAGTAAATATCTTAAGAGCTCCCCGTCAATGCTCCTTTTGAGATAACAATGTTTCTATTGTGTTTGCAAAACTATTGCTTCCTTTATTTTAACAAGATGCCAACAATATGTATTTTTACATCAGAATTAATAGTTGAGAAAATCATAACGGAACTTAATGTCGGTTATTTTGTATCAAGCCAACTTTTATATTTTATCTTTTCTTTAAAATTAAAACCACAATGAAACTTTTTACTTTTATTTTGTTGCGGTATAATTTATTATTACTGGGATAGTTCTTTCTGTCAATGAATACACATAATGAATTTTTTTTACTTGAACGTGTTTGCTACAAAGATTTATATACCTGGCTGTGTATTAAGTTATATATTATGTAACTCATACCTTTATTAGATGTTATACTCATTGTTTGCACGTGTTTAAGTCGTAAATCTTAAAGTTATTTCGAAGTCGCTAACGTGGCTTTACAAACTATAGTATCCCTAACTATTTTATAGTTTATATTTTAAAAATATTCTCTGTAAAAGACGTGTTTGAAATTTGTCCTTTAATAATAATATTCATGTTGGTACACTCTTAGATCATATCAAAAAATATGTTTTATTGTTAAAAATTTATAACATACCGGTACATGTAAACTAAGTGAGGGGTAAGTTTTTGAACCATGTTTACTACTATACGCCTAATCTATTTATTCTAATTATTTAAATGTAACTAGCTCTTAAAATAATTTTCCAAAATTAATTATCAGCTTGTTAATTTTTGCTCGTCATATCAATCTAAATCTAAAATACATAAAATTTGATTTTGTATTTTAGCACTGAAACGTCGTGTTTCAACCAAAATTAATTAAATGATGACTTGCTACTCTTTAGTCCACTTTGTCTATTTTTTACATCATTTTATAATCTCTAATGGAAAATTCATGTTCAAAGTAGTGGTAACCATAAATTATGAAGCTTTTACTTGTAGCCTTTGTTCTTAAATCAACATCAAAAAAACTAAAAAAAAAAATATATTCTCTATATTTAAATATCTCTATTATATGAATAGTAAGCGCTTGAAACAAATTGTTGAGCGAATTAATTTGCTGTCTCGTCAATCTTTATTGCATAATTTGTACTACTGGTAGAAGTGTTGCAAATACTACTTATTATTAAAAGTTTTTTCACAAAACGTTGTATTAACATGTGGAAACTCTTAAGGATTCCACCTCATTAAATGTAGATACACATTTGAACACCTCGATGTCGATGATTACTCATTGTGAAAATCGTATTAATTGTGCGCTCAAGGCGTAAACTCGGTGTGTTCAATTGCATCACTTTTCGTGTCATTAAAAAGCTTTGATGGAAAATGTTGTTTTGTGGGTGCTTTACGAGAGAGAGACAGAAACGTAGATTGTCTTTTGCCTAACATGTACTCGCGGCCGTAAGACTTTAATGTGGGAAAAAGGGGCAAACAGAAGACGGTAGTGTCACGTTTCTAATTGAAATTAGAAGTCCAGCAAAGCTCAACCCGTGATTTGTAGCCTTCGACCTCCCCTTTTCAAGTAGCGAGTGTCAGCTATTATAGATTGTAATAGGTATACACTGGAAAAGCTTTGAGTTAATGCCGCTACCATCGTAAAATTAAGCCACCGAGGCCATTAAGCACATTATTACTTGTTCACTCACGTAACACAATAAGGTGGCCGTACATCAAATGAAAGGTAGTTGGTTTATGTAAACTCTGGCGGAGAAAATTAAAAATTCAAGCATCTATTTTTTGAAAATCGTGTCCCCTTGACACACATTCTCTGTGTTGCGGTCGAGGAGAATTTTATGTTTTTAGTTAATGTGTGTTGCGTCCAATATTTTTGAAATTTATAAACGACACGCTGTGCAGTAAAAGTGACGTTTCATTTAGAAACAGATTCTCCTGTAGTTTGTACGCCTATTGTCGTGTAATTAGAACAAAACCGCGCGGCTTTCCTTTAAACGTTCTTAACCAGTCGACGTCGAGACAGATTGATTATTCGATTGAATTGAAAATCGACACGAGTCATTCGGACAGTTTTATCAGTTTAGAAGAATAATATGTAGAAACCCGCGTAATTGATCGCACGGTGGCAAATGCCGTCGGTCAGGCTGCGGAGATGGACAACAGCCCTATTTCGATGTAACGATATGCGTGTCTTCTACAGCTGAAGTGGTGTTGATCGAAGCAATTATAACCGAACCGTCTGTAGTTCGACTTTATCTGACCCTAATCTGAATCGGACCGACTCTTTTCGTCCGACGTACGTCGTATGTCTGCAGACTAAGTAACAATCCGGTCCCATTAGTGTTAAATTTCGGTGGAATCGCCAATGATTATATTCTAAAAAGAAAACAACCAACGTGAACAATATTCGGTCAGTATATTTACCACGCAAACGTACCACTCCTACGTTGTTAATGGACGCGAAATATTTTCACCGTTCGACAGCCAGTTGTTATAATATTAAATCCGCAAAATGTTCGATCACTGATCGATAAGATTAAATAGTACGATCGACGCAAAAACATATGCGTACTACTTTGTTACACTGCGGGTAGTGTAACGAAATTCTAAAAAAGGGTTGTGTTATTTAGTTTTCTGAACTTTATTAAGTCTCTAGACTATGAAAAATTCCCGTACGTCAGTATGGTATATTTAACATAGGCGTTAATTTTACACATTAAATTTTACATACTAGTATCGAAAATTAGTGCACAAATATTAAATTTTCGACGGTATTTATCAGATTTTTTCTTTAAATACTTCCAGTATGTGTATATGAAAATTCGGACATTTATATTTAAGTGTGTACATCCAAATGATTTTATATTTTCTCTTACAACACTATCATTTCTTTTGGAAATGTTAAATGCGACAATAATATTCGTCTTGTAATATTTGTGTGCGCGTACCTTAATGTAAAACTGCTCTGAACACTTGTACTTGAGCTTTTTAATTAGAGTTTGTTACTTTGTTTTCGGAGCATTTTCCAAAGTTTAATTCCGATTACCAGCCGTCAATGCTGTTATCGTAAAGACAAAAGCTATAAAAACGTTATTGTTGGCGAAAATTAAAATACATTTTCCTAAGTATTCGGACTGGTTAATGATCGTTAACCGACGGCGATAGTAATAAAACACATTTAGTCACAGAGTACGAACATCTAGAATTTAAAAACCCTTAAAAATGCTCTAGAGAATTGGCGTTTCAAATAATTATTAACCAACATTTAGCCACTGTAAAGTCTCCAAGAGTTGCCGCGAATACGTTTTACGCCAGTTACAATTCGTAATTAAATTACACTCTCAAAGGCTGCCCCATAAAACTTTTCTTAACATCGTCTGGAGTATTCGGTCCAATAGCTTTTGCGTTACAGATTTAAATTGTTATTAAATTATCGAATTAATTCGTTTTAATGCGAGCCGCGTAACTCTTTTATTAGAACGGAGACAAAATCGTACCAAGTCTTGTAGTGACATATTAATAATAATAATTTGTAATAAGGCTGTGTAAAATTCACAATGCTACAAAGCTACGTATTTAATAAAGTTTCTATTTAATACACAAAAGTGTATCGGCTATAAGGTCTTTTGTTGCCGAGGTACTCATTTTAGTAAGTGAATGCTATTCAGCAGACGGAAGTGTTTCCGAAATCACTTTGTTTGCGCTCTTAGAAAAGAAACAAAAAAAAACCCTGAATATTATCGCGTATTGTAAGGAGTTTATTTTAAATCTCTCTAAGATGGCTATAAAAAACAACTTGTTATCGTATCTCAGAAAATTACATATACCCAATTGCAATTGGATACAATAGTCTGTTTTATAAATGCAATAATGCGCTACGAGTAGTATTACAGTTTAATTCCCAACGGTTGTGCTCCTACATTGAACACTTCACATCTTTAATATACATTAGTCTGTAGATATTTGATTAGAATACTCAGCTGGAGTAAGTATTTAGTATAAAAATTTGTTTGTAATGTTCCTAGAACAAAAATTCATCATTAATATCATCGTTAAAAATATACTTGAACTTATATATCAAATTATTTTGAACCGAATTTAATCTTTTATCCGAATAGTATTGAACATTAACCGGATATCTGCATATTTGGAAAAAAAAATTTTTAATTAAATACTACATTCGGTATATCAGGCATGTCTATTTGAGTTCTTCTAGTAGGCGGATATGTCCGATGAATACATATAACTGTTTAAAAAACAATTTTCTATCGAAAAATTGAAAAACATGAATTTTAAAATACATTGGAAATAATCGGTTATTGCATTGGACCTTTTGTAATGATTTCAGAATCATATTAGATTAATGTGTTCCAAAATACTGAAACAAACTTTTAGTCAAAAAGGGTGAAATATATTTCTCCTAGTTTACATATTTTGTTGTGAATCACTGAAATAACGATTTACTTTCTACTTTTTCAAATCTAATCATCATTGTTTTCTTTGTTGATCTTAAAGTTACCTCAGAATCATTTTATATTTACATACTTGAATTAATCATCTACAATTATCAATCGATTTAAATCAAATAATTGATTAATAAAAATTTGGTTAACATTTTGATAGCAATTATCATAAAAATACCAATTATTTTATTATTTTTAATATATTACGAAACCATAACTTTAAAGTTATAGTGAGCGTTTTACAGTTTGAAGACATGTATTTTTTTTTTTTTTGATTTGAACTATTTCTTTTTATTTAGAAATAAAAATAAATTGATATTTCAACGATGATCGAAACGATCATTGAAAATATATAGTATTATTAGAAGTTAAGCAATCTGTTTTTTGTGCTACATTGTGTAGACAATTTTAATATTTTATGAATATTGACACTTTTTTTATGTGAAAAGATTTATTTTTTACTGTTGATTTATTAGAAGTACAGAAATAATAACTTGATTTACTTCCAATAGACTGTTTTAAAGTAAATAAAAATGTATTTATGACGTGTATCTATTTTGTAAAATATTTAAAACAACAAACGTATCAAAAGTTGGTTCTTAAAAGCAAAATCATTCTTTGATGTGCACTTTATTTTTCGGTTATAGCACATGTGCTCAAACCATAAATTCGCCGACTACAAATTTTCATTAGATTGACTTAACAAGAAGCTCTTATGACACCAAACGTATCGTTGTTCTATTAGCACAAACATGTTAACTGCCAACATACGAAAACTGCCTCGCACCCTTTCCATCAATTCTCGCTTGCCTTAGTCATTTAGCTTTTGTGTAAAACATTATGTTCATGAAAAGGATGTTCTCCGCGAAAATCTTATTACGCTCCGTCGTCACAATAATTAACGCTAGTCATAAACAAAAGTCCAAAGTTCCCAAAACGGTCGTAAGACTGAAATTCGTGTGTGCCCGTCAACGGGCGGTGTTTCTATGAAGTCGTTACGTTATAATTTAATGGGAAATCGCTGGGGAGAGGTTTCACGGGAAACTGTTTCGTTTCTTCTTCCACGTGCATTTAGTGAAATTGTTCTATCTTTATACCGTAAAACAAGTTAGTAGTGTGTTTTCTCCTAAGTCAGTCGTCTGAGTCCATCAGACAATAGGTATCTCACAATCTGTTCTCGAATAGCGCGGAGTATGTTAAGATAAAAGTTTCACAAGAATTTATCTTTGAATACGAGTTTACATATTACTTTGATTAAATTTGTCCCTCATGACTCTGACGAAATTGTTGAGAAATAAACGCACGACGCTTCGACGAGCTCATTCATTGAAGATTTCATTTAAATCAAACTTATTCTCGATAAATCTGACGAGAATTCGGAATTTAATTACGCGCCTGCTAAAAGTAAAAATATGATGTTGGTACATTTTCTAAAATTTCTATCGTCGAGGTTGTTTTTCTCTGCGAACATAATCGCGCACAACGAGTCATTTATAAAATATGACACGTTTCCCGTGTATTTTTCATTTACCCTTCTTGATTTTCTAATTAAAATCGTATCGGTAATTTTATTTTCAGTGCGCAACGGATATTCATGTGTTCCTGTCGCTTTGGCTGAAGGACTGGACATTAAACTAAACACTGCAGTCAAACACATCCATTACGGTCCCAACGGCGTCGAAGTATCCACTTACAATCCGCGTTCTAGCAACGCTGCTGGACAAACCTACAAAGGTAAATATGTTGTTAGCTTCACTCATAGGAAATACGATCAAGGGATATTTTCTGTAAACACATTGTGCCTACTATTACAGCGGGCGAATGACGTACTTAAATGTTGGTGAACTGCCAACGACGAAACACATTAAAACGTTTACCGGTGTTTTGCGACCAATAATCGAACAAACAATTGCCTGGGATTGATTGATGCGTTTAAATAACACATTTAGTATTATTTTTCGATTTTGCGTTTGAATTTCAAATGGAAAGCACTGTAAAACCATCTCAATGCAAATAAAATCAACCTATTTGTACAGCCGACATACACGAGCTTGTATTAAACGATTCGTTGGTCAATACGGCCAAATATGTCGGTCAGCCGTTTATTGTTTGCACTTCAAATGATTTTTTTACCCTCATTTATACGGGTTATCACTGAATATGCATTTAAAATCTAATAATCAATGGCCGCCGAAACGTTTAATAAATTCTGCGGTGTTTGCGCAATGATGTACTTGGCGGCAAGTTTTTAATTATAACCGAAAATACTAAACAAAAAAAAGGACTAAAGGGTTGCTTTTGCTTTGACGAGGACCCAAAAGCTACATCGGGGTTCAATAATCTTTTTTCGTGTTTTGAACGTTTTTCTTAATTACTCCCTTGTTGAAATAAATGTAAATGGCAACTTTCTTTTAAAAATAAAATCGCTTTCCGTTGTTTATAGTTGAGTTTCATTTGCCAAATTTTATATTATTTTAACAATTATATTTTGTTTTGTTTTTATAAGATTTAATTAATAAATTTCAAAGCGAATATATTATTCATTTGAAAACTTACTCTAATCGTATATTTATTGTAATATTTTTATATTGAAATATATCGAAAACTGCGACAAAATAGGTGCCGCAAACTAGTTTAGGATAAACAACAAAAAAAATGAGCCAAGTGAGGTCATCAATACCGTTACGAGGATTTTAAATATAAAAATTTTACTTTTTAACGCAATTTATATAAGATTTAATGACATAATTTTTTTGAAGTTTTTGAGTTAAAAACTTTTCAATCATAAATTAATATTTAAAATATATTTCTGAATTTTATATGTGGGCAACACTGAAAGTTATTTATATCGTATAGCTATAAAATTAAAAATGAGCTTGTTGCGTTTTTTAAAGGGTATCGAGTAAAATAAATAAGTATATTTGTGACACGATTATAACTTTTTCGTGTATTTTTAGGTGATGTCGTTCTCTGCACATTGCCCCTGGGAGTATTAAAACAATCGACCAATCAAAAAACTGAATCGCTTCCTAATACTATTAAATTTTCGCCGCCATTGCCCGAGTGGAAGGTTGCTGCTATTCAACGTCTTGGTTTTGGAAATTTGAATAAAGTCGTCTTGTGTTTTGATCGAATTTTTTGGGACCCCAACGGAAATTTGTTTGGACACATCGGTACTACCACTTCCAGCCGAGGAGAACTGTTTTTGTTTTGGAATTTGTATCGAGCTCCCGTTCTTTTAGCTTTGGTGGCCGGCGAAGCTGCTAATGTTTTAGAAGAAGCTACGGATGATGTTATTACAGCCCGTTGTATGTTAGTATTGAGAGGTATATTTGGCACTGCAAACGTTCCAGATGTAAGTAGATTATTACTTTAAGTTTCATAAAAAAATTGTTTTTTTACATTTTATTGTAATCGTTTTATTATTATATTTCGTACCATTGCATTTGAAATAATTTTTTAATACTTAAAATGGAAAAATTTAAAAAAAATATTGTTCTACACGCTATTGTTTCTGTAGAATTAAATATAATGTATATTTCGTCTGACATAAATTAAATTTATTGTTTTTCTATATGGGTATATTTGTAACGTAAATGTGTTAATAATTGTTTTTGAATTGTCTTCGTGAAGTATGTTATTAAGAAACGAAACATATTAAAAGTAGGTTTTCGGCGTTAAAAAATTAACATTTTAAATGTAATATAAATCAACCAGCGTCATCGTAAATTACTATAGTTGTTTTTGATGTCAAATTCTTACTCTCAACTATCATATTGGGCAATCTTCCTCATTCAAAACCAACCTCATAAATCTTTGTAGTACTACTAAATTGGAAAAAAATTTGTTTGTAGCATTAGCCTACGATTAAATACTTGACTGGGATGTTGTATTTTAATTTACTAGCAGAACGCCAATATTCAAATAATTGTGAATGGCTAAAAATCTCACTTTATCCGTTTCCATAAAAAAATGTTGTTTCGCTATTTAATTATAAATGCCAATGACACTTTTATCATCTAGTCAATCGTTTAAAGCTTTAGGAATTTATAAATAGATGACTTAATTAAATAAAATGAACGTAACCTAGAAGTTAATGTTATAATTTTACTTATAAATCTTTTTAGGAATATACATCTTTATAAATCTTGATGAGTTGTATAATTTTACACAATAGCGGGTTTTTTGAATTTTAAATGTATGAATTAATTTGATTTTTTTTTTTCGTTTAAAATAAAATTTCACGTTTAACAGAGGGTATAATTATAAGTTTTATAGAGGCTTTTACTCATAAGATCTTTTGTTGATGAAATTTTTCGGTTCAAAAATAAAATCATGAAAATTGTTAGATTTATGATTAGATTTTAATTGAAATATTGTGATTAAAAATGTTGAAATGATTTTTCAGCCTAAAGAAACTGTCGTGACACGCTGGAGATCTGATCCATGGGCTAGAGGATCTTATTCTTTTGTAGCCGTAGGCGCTTCTGGATCTGACTATGACTTACTAGCTGCTCCCGTATCTGCTACACAGTCGGATAATTCAGACGAGCCACCAGCATTGGATGGTAGTGAACGAATTTTTTTCGCAGGTAAATAAAGCGCTATATTGTTTTAAATTGATGACGTTTAACAATATTTCAGTGTAAATAAAGTTAAATTAGAATATGTCAAGTTAGTATATTAGTGAAAATTCTGGTGTTCAGATAGTAGCCTTTTATGGGCAGATCCTGTTTTTTGTCAACTTATTATTCAATGATTTTACGGCTCTTTAAAAATAACAAAATGATAGTAATGATATGTAAATCCTTTTGAGTGTTATATATCCTCAAAACACTTCTTCACTGTAGAACTATAGAATAAGTAAAGTGTAAACCCAATCTCGTACGTTTCTGGTTGTAAACTCTGATATATTATTATTTATTATTATTCTTCGAGTCTACTGACACGACGTTGACGTGTTAACCGATTACTCTTGTGTAGTAATACAGTTGTCAAACAGATTAATAACCGTAACGACGAAGGGGTTGATGTGTGCGTCACCATCGTTTTTTCCAGGGAGAAATTAATTTCTTTCACATACTCTCAGAAATACCAGACGCTCTTTTATTTGTCAGCTTTCTGTAAATTAATGTGGGCTCTGAAATATGTATTAATATTACTCGACAGAGATGGAATTTACCTATTGAAGGACTCAAAATACGTTGTATTTTTTTAGGTGAGCACACCATACGAAATTATCCAGCTACGGTACACGGTGCTTTTCTAAGTGGACTTCGCGAGGGCGGTAGAATTTGCGATAAGTTACTAGGATGCCCTTATGCGGTTCCTAAATCTCCTTAATAAACGGTTTCCTTATTTCAATACGTCATACACACTATAATTTTTTAATTTTTGTTCATTTTCAATTATAAAAATATTTTAGCTTTAAGGTTTTGCGACAATTATCGTATTATACTTCACAAGAAGATATTTTTGTACTTTTCATTATATGTTTTATTTTACTTATTATTTTACAATTATGCGGAATAATTATTTTCGACTTTTTTAATTCAATTGTAATTGAAACGATAAATGTTAGAGTGTAATGGTTTATTTGATTTTTTACATTAATTATCTACTACAAATTATAACAAAAAATAGTAAATTAAGAGTAATACAATATTTAAATATGAATAGTAAAATTCACTCAGTTTTAGTAAATACTCATTGATGTACTTTTCAAAGATAATATTAGAGCAAAATAATAATTACAATGTAGTAATACTTATTAGAATAATATTTGATAGCATGGACCACGATACTATGTTTTTATTAGACAAAAATCAAATAACCATTAATTTTTTTTATTAGATTTAAGTTCCTTTTTTAATTTACTTGTATTTTTACATTTAAACGTGTGTTGTCGTATTGATAAGTATTTTTAATTTAATTTTAATATTGACAAATTCGTTTGTNTTTAATTTAATTTAATATTGACAAATCCGTTTGTCAATCGATTTAATGACTATTATTTTTTCATTTATACATGATATTTTGATTTTGATTTTAATAAAATAATTTTGACTTTTTACTGCAAATTGTTTTTTTAAATATATGTCCTATATAAGTAGCAAAACGTTGCATGAATTAGATAGAAAGTCATACCATTTTTAGCTTTTCACCTAATTATTACAGATATATAAATTTTTTATTTCAAAATATTTAAAGACTATTGAAAATAAAAATAATTTTTATCTAAAATTTATTTAAGTATGCTTTTTAATATAATTTTTTCCACTTTGATACTTGCATATTTCTATATATATATATATAGTTTGCATACAGAGCTACCTACCCATTTTAAAACGTTTTTTTTACAAAATTATAATATTCATTGACATAGATGGCGCTGTTCGCTGAATGTTTTTGTATTAATAATTTTGTTAAAAACTGTGTTCAATAAAATGTTAACATTTGTCTTATTGTGCACTACTACTTAATACAAATATGCAATTCATTTAGAAATTCTTTTTTTATATTAAACTCAAAACGAAACCAAGACAATGATATTATTGTAGAAGTAATTTTAATATTTGAAGATACTGGCGTTATTATAATTTTACTAAATTTATTATTTTTTTCCCATAAAAAAAATTATTTTGAAACTACTTAGTTGAGATGTAAAATATTAAAAAAAAATGTTCATTTGTCAACTCATATTTAGCTTCATAAACCTTATAAAATTAATGCATAATGCTTAATTTATAAATCATTTTTCTTATTTCTAACTGTAAAAGTTCATCATAGTGTCTGCAAGCCCATCGAATAACGTTATAAGATTATAAGGTTACTGAACAGAGAAGTGAAAACTTTGTATTCAACTCTGTCCAGAAGTTTGTACCACATAAAAAATATATGAGTAAACCTAGTCTCTGGAGGATTGCCGAAAGCTTCAACATGTTTCTTTAAAGTTTTTCATGTTTTTGCGAGAGCTTACAAATCATTCAAGGCCTGTTTGCCTACTGGCTCTGGGGAAATATGTAAACGCGTTGCATATGTTTAATAAAAACAGCGTTTGCTGAACAGTATTCATCATTTAGTTATAAATATCTAGTTTTACATTATTTTTATACAATTCAGTTACTACACGATTTGTGATGATTCTTATATTTTTAGCCTACGTGTATTTTGATTAATTTACTACTATTTCTTTATAATTAGCTTGTTAGTGTTCAACCAATATTTATATAAATAATAATAATTAAAAATAAATTAATAAATAAATAATTTTACAATATTACTTGAAAATATAAAAAACGGTTGAGCCTACTTGAATATAGTACAATCTGTACTATATAAATATCATCTAAAACACGTTAATAAATTTATTTTAATCTTTGTCCTGCTTTTTATGAAAAACAGCATGCAATTTATAGAATGTTTACACCATAGCGTAGAATTATTCGAAGTACTATAAAGTCTGTTTCGGTTTCTAGAATAAGAAACATCAATGATACTTCTTCAAAAATTTTTTATTGAAGTGTTCTATTTTCATATAAGTTTGATTATTCAGCAGTTGTTTGAAACCATCTGTGGACATCCTTTAAACATAGTGGCTGTCAATTTCATATTTTTGCATATGACCATAGCCTATTTTATTTAAACTTTCTATTATCAGATAATACATTAAGTTTTATGCATTTGATTTCGGCTACTAGATGTTTTCAGGATTCACGCCATGAAATATAATTTACAAATTGTTTAATTTAATATTTTACTGTTCATTTAACAATTTAAAATAATACTTTTAAAATAATTAAATATTTATTCAATTTTTTGATATGGAATATTAGATAAAAGGCCATTTTCATTGTTATTATTGAAAATTAATGAAATACTGTATAATGTTTTAATGTTCAAACAGACACTAAAAACGACTAATTTTACGAGCCAAGTCAAATAATTCGTGAGATAACGCCGTCATTAAAAATGTATAGTCAACACATGTTACTTTACTGTAGATCAGATGTTGTGTTAAAATCATTAAGAGAATAATAATTTCAATATAAAAAAATAATATTATAAAACTGAACTTTAATTTTAATGGTAAATAAATGCCTATACCGTATTGAATATAAATTGTTATTGATATGGATAGTTAAAAACGTCTGTATATTTAACTTAGCCTAAAAATAATTAAACAAATGAAAATTTTAATCAATTAATAGTCCATTTTTAAAATTTTTGGGCTTTCAATTTTTAATTTTTAGATCTTAAATATTTTGTAGAAATTATTCTGTTATTCATCAAATACTAAACTTCTCTAAAATTTAATTACTTAAGATATTAGAACTTTGTTATCTTCCTTTAAAACATGCTCACATAAGCCATAAATCTGTTATAATAGTTTGAATGGAATGAGAAATATTAGGATCCAAAATTATTTGCAGCTCACAATAAACTTTCAGATTTACTACAACTTTAATATTATAATATTATATTACTACGAATGAAAACATTTAAGGATATTTCAAAGTATGTTAAGATATTGTAATATTTTCTTTATTATTATAAATAGTTAAGATGTCATATAATTTTATGATTTATTTTGTTTAAATTAATAGATAATTGTTACAGTAATATAATTTTCGTTTTTTTTTTTAAATAATATTTACCATTTGGGTGTATTAAGTTCTTAAATATAATGACATAATAATAATTATTAACTAATAAATATTGGGTAATTGTATCTTGTGAACAATATAGAAATATGTATTTTATTGAACAATTTAAAAACAAAATTAAAAATCAATATTTAAAATATATTTAATTATTTCAAGCATCTTTTTTGCTATAAGCCTATTTTTTTCTTTCATGCTATTTCTTTAAATACTTTTTGTGCAAGTATTTGGTTTAATATTCAATCATCATTCTCATTTATTTAATATAGTATTAAAAATATTAAACATTTACAGTACCATGGTACTACTATAATTTTTATCAATAAAATGTACAAATGTATGAGTATAAGTTAATAAAAAAATACATTGGCATAAATAAAGTCACGTAAGTTATTGAATCTTAAACAATCGTTTGTAATTATTATTAACTATGAAATAATGTAAATAAAATTAATATTTTTGTTTTTAAAAATATAAATATAAATATTAAGAAGATATAATGATGAATATGTGAATCTAAATAACTAATTATCATTTGCTGCTAATTTACATCGGTTTAAATATAAAATTCGGACAAATAAAATTGGCGCTTACAAATTATTATGCTACTCTTTTTGGAATAGACATTGGTACGGGCAATAAATCTGATGACAACATTTGCGTTGGTGCTGATTCAGTTACAACATTGTAAGTTCCAGCCGATCTCTGCTCGTTCATATCGGCCGGCTTGGCAGTTATCGGTACTTTTGGCATTTTACCTGTTGTTACGTAATCTTGTATAAAATTGTAGCAGATGGTTGACAACATTTCACCTTCAAATATAAGAGGCATCAATCTTATCATTTCCATTGCGTCTTCGTCTTCATTGGGACGAATTGGATCAGCAGAGAACAAACCTCGTCTCTGTCTGTCATAGTATCGCCTACGCATTGGCGGTACTTGTTGCGGTAGATAACCGAGTAGTCCAATGTTGGGGTTAGGTGTTGTCAATTGATATTCAAAGAACTGAGGGTAGTTTTTGCGACGTAAAACTAAAAGCCACGGTAGCTTTGAAGAAACGGCTACCAAAAGCACCGAAATAGGTATTTTAATTTCAGTAGTTTTAGGGAACTGCAATTGGGCAACAGTGTCTGGTGTAACGAGCACAGCAAAGTATTCGGTGTCTTCCTCCTCCTTCACGGAAGGCTGACCGTTATTTACAGCTATTGGCTGTTGTATTGGCTGTTGTCCTATTGATCCTCTTACTTCTTGGATTCCACCGTTGGTAATAAATGCATCGTACTCTCCTTTTTCTTTATCCTGTTCTTTGATAATAAACACGGGGCCCTTGTAGTTGGCTATTTGATTGTGTGTCCCCACTTTTTGAGCTACTTGAGGTCTCGAACTTCCAGATAATCCTGAGAAAACATTTTAAGTAAAATTAAAAAAAAACGTTTTCTCTGATTTTAGGAATATTCTACTTAAAATTAGTAGGTGGTGAAACCATAATTTTTTTTTATTTTTGTAAAAAGTTATAATTATAAAGTTATAAAAAATTATTTGACTATAATTAATTAAACATTACGATGAATGTTCAGAAGCTAACTATTTGGGAGGATTATAATTCCCTAATTCTCTCATGGTTTTGTGTTTGTTATTAATAAATTAAATATAAACAAACGTCAATAAATTATGTAGAAAAAATGTCCGTTGCTCGAATTAGCTTACAAATTATTTTTAATTAACTTATAAATGAGAAGAAGTGATTTTTATGTGCTATAGAACTTACATAAAATGGATTTTATTGTTATAAAATTTATTAAATATACAAATAAAATAACAGAAAATAATTATAAAAATAAAATAATAGAAAATAGTTGTAGACAAATAATATAAAATAAATAAAGTAAAAAAATGTTAATAAAACTAATTATCGATGACAATCTAATTTGAATCGACTCCAATTTTTTATAAAACATTTTTTTTCTGGAATCGACTTTATAATAATTAAGATTAACTCATAATAAATCAAAGTGAATTCAAAATAAGTCTGTAAAAGCTCTTGGCGTGATAACTGAACTGAAACATTTTTTTAAGAGATTATCTTACAAAAAAAAAACTATTCTATTCTAGCTACATATTTGATCAAAAGAAAATTTAAATTAACAAAGCGATATAAATATCATCCAGGTTCGTTTTTTTCGTTAATACTTTATATATTTAAATAATTTATGTTTCATTTTTGACTAGGAACTCCACATTTTATTTTTGTTCAAGGTACCTATATGCAATTTGCGTCTGTTCATACAGTTATTTATATTCATAAGGTAAAATGAAATATTTTATACTTTTATTTTTTACGGCTAATATAAGATTTTTTAATATATCAAATTTTGTCATCTATAATAGTAAATAGTCTTAATTATTATGTTTACACGTCGTATGAAAGATTTTAACATAGTTATCTTTTTTTGTATTAGGAAGTTATAATACACAAATTACAATTGCTTAGTTACATTAAAGAACCATAAATTTGTACGCAAAATAAATACCTAAATTATAAAATAATTTTTTTATATACCTGGTATTTTGAATGCTGTCGTCAAATTCACCAAAACTGAGGTTGAAATCATTAATATAAAAAACGTAGTTCTACAGTGGTCCTTCATGTTGATTGTTTGGGAAGTCACTGAGTCTGTGGCTGATCAAGAGAGGGTTCTTAAATACCCTTATAACCGAGGGTGCATTATTGTTTAACTACCCAGTATTGAAGTAGCCTCCGGTTTTTCATGTTTCTTTGTTATTTTTACTGCAGGTATTTGTTATTATATTTTTACGCATTCACATACCGAAAGAACGTCATAGATAAGAGTTCATCATTTGTCTAGACTACTTTAGTGGGGGTGTCTTGGACGCAAGGTGCCAGTACACATAATAAACTAAACTGAAATTCCAAGAAATATCAGCAACCTTGAACTGAGTTTTGGGGTGAATTAAATATTTTATTGTATAAAAATACCACTGTTACTCATAATAATGACAATGAATCATATAAATTACATTCCATGTGTGATATACTAAAAAAAAAAATTGACTGTTATTATATAAGTGCTCGCTGTAAAAACAATAAAAATATTAGACATTATACAGCAGTACGTTATAACATGTTAAATACAAATGTAAAACTAGTCTGAATATTATAAAATATATAGTGAACAAAATAAGTTNACATGTTAAATAAAAATGTAAAACTAGTCTGAATATTATAAAATATATAGTGAACAAAATAAGTTATAGATAAATTTAAGTTTTATAAGACTACTATCTTTATCACATACTACAAAGAAACATTAAGAGTTCAATCCATTGGATACATTCTATAGATATAGTTTATCATTTCCGAATACTTTCGAATAAATAAGCTCCATCAGTAATGAAATTTTATCTCTCAGACATGTAAATAAAGTAATTTTGTAAATGTATGATGCATAAGTTTAATGGAAAAATTGAAAACACTTATGTTGACATTTAAATATGTTACGATAAATCAAAATTCCGTTCAGCCATAGGGTCTTTCGATTTTTTGTGCTTACATTCAATATAATAGGTTTATTTACGACTAGATGAAATTACTAATTTTTTATACAGATATTAGAAGTTATTTTGTATTTATAGTTTTAATGCATACTTCTGAATTTCAATAGATCTTTAATTGTTTGATAATCAGTTGAAATACTCTAATATAATTAACTAAAATACTTTTGTTTACTTTAACAGCTAAAAACAGTATAAAAAATGGAAAGTAATTTTATGAAATGTAAGATAAAAAACAAAAGAAGGTCATCATAAATCTTTATAAATTTCATAGTCTGTACGATATTTTCTTTAGATGCATTCAATGAAGATTTTCAATTAATAAGAACAATTGGTTGAAGTCGACAGCCAAAAGGAAAATCCGAGTTTTACGCCATTAATATTTCTGATAAGCAAAACACAAAAGCTCTTCCGATCGGTTTTAAAAATATTTAAATGATGATGTTTACCTCAACGACTTATTTAGTTTTACGACTTACATTACAATGTAATGTAAGTTTTTATTTAAAACTTACATTACAGTAAAATAACATAATTTTCTCTTGATAAAATAAGCAAACAGTCTTTCGATTACAATAAAGTTATTTGAATTAATAAATTGTTTTACATTAGTGGCTACGCAATATAAGTATATGCTTTAAGTCAACAAAATATAGAACTAAGTATTTCATACTGTTATTTAATGTTTTTTCTCGAGTCTTGTTTGCTCTTTGTAATTTAAGGATAATTAATTAGGTTATGTCACACTGATATGCATTCTTAAAGTTTGCGATTGAGGTGTGTACAACATACATACAATATAGTGTATAATACTATGTTTGATTAAATTAACTTAAGTTCTTTTAGAATTTCATTCAGCTTATTCCATTAGCTATAACTTTCTCGAGTACTGCAATATTATCTGTTCATTCGAGCACGTATGGTTTAGCTGTTTCTGGTCTTTCTTCTTCATTGTCAATGAAGACATCAAGATCCTATTCCATTAAGATTCCGACAAATCAAGAGTTTTTAGTAGATTGGCTTTATAATAAAATGACAAAAGCTTCTGATGAAATTAGATTGTCTGTTTACTTATAAAATCGTGTATGTACAGTAACTCTTGAAATGTTTGCAAAATAAATAGAAAGTCTACATTTATATTTTCTTTTTATAAAACTATTACTTGTTATTTTCATTTTACTTCATTAGATTTTTACCATTAAGATAATATAAAAAGCCTCTGGAAATCACTGCATTAAGGTGACACAATTATCTTTGATTCTTAATGTAAAACTTTTTTTGTATATTTTCAAATCGTAGTTAATAATGACTAATGTATTTGATGTTTATTTTATTTCAATTTTTAACGACTAAAGTATGAATACACTTTTGTAGGAATTTTTCTTTTTATGAATTTTGATAAATATTATGTTAAAATAAACATTTTGAATAAATTTTAGTAGAGGGAAACTCTGATTGTATTAATAAAATTAACTGTAATTATTATTTTGAAAATTACAACTAAGTTTAATGAAAAAAAGACGTATAATTATAATTGAATAGAATTTTTTTTTTTACTATTTTTTAAAAGCAAAATGAAAAAACAAATTTGTTGCGCTTTTGACTATATTTTTCGGTTTAATCACCTTGACTTTTCATTATTTTTAACAATAAGAAATAGGTCATATATGAACTATCTCTTTATAAAATTAATATATTTTATCTTTATGATTTTACAGACATCCCGGGTACTTGATTTTGTTAGAATGTTTGTACTTACATAATATATTAATTTAAAATAAATTGTCGAGAAAAAAATTTACAACAATCTTTAACTTTAGAAAAATGAATATTAATATAAACGGAGAAAGTCAAGTCAAGAAAGAAATATAAATTATATTCAAAGTTAAATAATTTTATTTAATGTCCACAATATTCCAGTCGTGACTGTAAAAATTACATCAATAAAATCAGAATATTTCTATATAATACCAGTGTTAACTAAACTACAACACTTTTCTGACGGTCGGTATTGACTACCGTCACAATATTACTACAATACAATTTTCAAGTTCTGTTTTACTCAGGTTTTATAGATTTGTGTGAAATAATAACCAAAAAAAAGTCATTATTTATACGATTTTTATAAAACTTAAAATTACAGTAAAAACTATATATATATTCTATATAATTTCATAAAATTTTATTGCTATCTTTTGTAAGTGGTAACAGTAAATCTTGAACTATATTTTAGGTGTAAAATCATATAGAAAAGGAAGATGGGAGATTTGATTTGATTGATGTTCACTGCGAACTCTAAATCGTTTGGTTTATCCTTGTTTTGACCGATTGTACGATTTGTTAGAAATGTTTTTTTCATTACACATTGAACACGGCAAACAATACTGCTGAAAATAAGAGATAAAAACTATTTTTTTAAATTCGAAAAGTAATGGTTGTAAACTATTTGTAGTCCATTGCTTTTAAAAATAATTTTTTCTTGTGTGTTCAAACATATTTTATTGTTGTGTCTAGGACTTTGGATTCATTGGAATACGCCAATGCATCGAAGTAAAAATTTAAATATTATATGAATTCCATTGAAGTTATATTATTAATATTAATCTAAAATTTTAAATGTAGTAGTTTTAGTTTTGATTCATAACTGAGAATGTATTGATTTTGTGATGGTGTGTGTCTTATTTTTAAATCTATACATGAAAGTTGTCAGCTTTCAATCAACTGATTTTAACTATCAATATGTCAAAAGAACATCATTTTAGTTTTGCTGAACCTATCAGCACCTATTTGAAAAAAAGACCATCGAATTTTTAGAAATTTAATA